AAAAATAAATCAGCAGGAAGCATATACATTATTCCGAATAAGATATTGTGAGCTAATATTTGGAGAATAAGCAGCTATCTATCTAGGATTTGATCTTGTTCGCTGTTTTGAGAACTGGAATCTTTGTGATTACTAAACACGTATTCTGTTCGATATGCTATATTATAAATTTGTCTTGATGTTTATTTCATTTTCTTTTATCATTATAATTAAAATATATTTAACGGGTTGATTTTTTCGTTGATTAAGTTTTTTTTTTTAAATTGCTATTTAGAGTTGGGTAATCAAGTAAAAAAGATACTTATACTTATGCTTATAAACAATTAAAACATAATTAACATAACTAACAAAAGACTAAACTCATTAAAGAAAAATATTTTTACAATTAATTATTTTTAAATATAATTAAAAAAAAAAACTCGAAATAAATTTTAATCAAGGAATAAAGTCTAAAGCAAAAAACTTTTTTCTCATACTTTCCCATAATTTTTGTCTTACCTTAGTTACCATACTTGCAAAAGAATTGTATATATATATATATATATATATATATATATATATATATATATATATATATATATATATATATATATATATATATATATATATATATATAATAGACAGATACAAAACGCAACCTAATGTGCGATTTAACTTATTCAATGTACCAGAACATATTCATAAATTGACTAAATATATATATATATATATATATATATATATATATATATATATATATATATATATATATATATATATATATATATATATATATATATATATATATATATATATATATATTTCGGTTTAAAATATTTAATATATGTATAATAGTTGTCTGTATGATAAGTAATTATGAGCTACTTCAATGTACTATGTAATATATAAAATACTATGTATTATATACTTCAATGTATTATAAAATACTATATAATGTACTATGTTATATATATAAAAGCAGCAACAACGTTAACATAACGCGAAAAAAATCACCAATAATAACTGCAACAAGAAAATCATTTTTTTTTTGTCAAAAAATCGATACCAAAGATTACAAAATCGACATAACGCAACAACAACTACAACACTTAAATTTAAAATATGATTAAGTTTAGTTAAATAAAAAATAAATTAGCGTAAACTTATTTTAACAAAAGTATCAAATTAATCATAATCGTATAAGTTCATGGTATTTAATTTTGTTTAAATACCGATTATGCTTTTTAAGTTACTATAAAACATTAATATTGACTGCATTAAGCAGTCTAAGAAACTTTATTCGTATTCAATAAAAAACTTTTTCTTAGGGATCGTCCATAAAGTACGTACGCTCGGAGGGAAAGAGGGGGTCTGCAAATGGCGTATGTGAGATGGGATTATAAAAGAAAGGAAACACTAAATATAAAAATATCATAAAATGTTAGATAAATAGGTTAAAAGCGTAGGTACTTTTATGATGATTATATGAGATGGAGGGTACTAAAAAACGCGTATTGCAAAATGCGCGGGGGGAGGGGGGTGGTGGACGTAAAAAAAGTGTACGTACTTTATGGACGACCCCTTATTATTTATTTTTTTTTCCTTTGGTATTGTCTCGGTCTCGTTAATTTTATATTTCTTGCTATTTTTTATTATTATCTTTTAAATTTGGTTAAATTTGTTAACAAAAAGTAAAATTTATCATTTAATTATGTAACTGTTGTAACGTCATAAAGATATTTATGATTTTTTTTTTAAATGTTGGACAGTACTTGCTAGTTCTTTTAAAGAGTTAAGGTGAGTTTCCACTCATCCCTTTTTTACGGAAACGGGATAGAAATGGGAAGGTATTTAGGTGAGCATGCGTAGTATAAGTTTTAGTTTGGAAAACTAAAGAAAAACAACGCATGCTCACGTGATTACTTTTCCCAGTTTCCCCAGAAAAACGTTCAAGTGGAAACTCACCTTACTGACCTTGGTATTTCAGCAGATTATTTATATATCTTATATAATTCTGGAGGAATTTATATATTTATATAAATAAAGTCATTTGAAAATCATATATAAAATTTTATAATATGAAAAACTTGAAAGTTGCGAAGTAGAGAATAATGGAAATAATTTTAAAAACTTCTATTCCCGGTCTGGAGCGCTCATTTTTATTAAATACAAATGCAAAATAACATGTTTGACCTTTTTAGAGAAACAGAATCGTCTAGAATAGAAACAGAAGAGTTTAAGTTAAATTTCACATGCAGAATTTAAAAATGATTTTGTGCATGAAGACATTTGAATAATGGCGCATCTCACCTCAAGACCCCTAGGTTATTTTTTAATATTTCTGTGAAGATTTAATAATGTATTTTTACGCAGTTAAAAAGAAAATACGCTTTTAGTTAACTTGTCATCAAAGTTCAACATGCTATCAAATGACATAATAAAATTGCAATTTTATCATTTAGTTCTAACTACATTGTAAAATTGCCCTCTAATGCTCACAGCTTTGTTTTAAAATAATGAAAATTTTATATTATTCTTGACAAACATCAAAAGAAAGGTGGCCTACAACTCAACCTACTTTTGACATTTCGTAAATCGTAGTGTTAATGCTTTTGATTTTCAAATGACAATTATTGATTTTTATATTTACACTTAAATAAACACGTTCTACTAATTTTCCGACCTACTAAATTGTTGACCTTCTGTATTTTGACCTACTGAATTTTCAACCTACTGAATATTCAACCTACTGTATTTTCAACCTACTGTATTTTACAACTACGTCTTTCCGGTGTGTATTTTGTATATTTTGTTGTTTATTTGAATACGAGCCGAATTTGATCAGCCTAGGCGCAGTGGTTGAAGCGCTGTCCTCAGAATCGGGAAGTATAAGATTCGATGAATGCTTGGAAAACTTATTGTTAATTTCTTATTTTTTTTTTAATTTCGTAGTTTAAAAAGCTAGTAAAAAAAAACAACGTTAAAAACACAGACCAGAAAATCGAATGAAAGTTAATTTATATCAAATAGGTTGAAAATGAAAATCTATTAAATAGATCGAAAAATAAATCTGCTGAAAACGAAAACGTCATAAATCGGTTGAAAATGAGACTATAATCGGTTGAAAACAATTTAGACCTCGGTAGGTTATCTGAAAATTAGTTTCACTTTTTAGTAGATGTTCTTTTTGTTTATATTTCGTATGCAGAACAATTTAGTAGGTCGAGGTTTTTGTAGGTGACACAAAAAGTTTTTGTATCTGACACAAAAAGAATTATGAAAATTATATGAAAATAATAATATTATTAATTGTTCTGATGCATTTTTTTATATAAAGAAATTGCTAAGTATGAGAAATATATTTAAATAATTTCTTTTGCACGCGTGTAACATTGTCCAGGAACAAAATTTTATTAAATTTAATGATAAAATTTTCAAAAACCAAGGCAACTTAAAATAAGATTTTTTAAATTTATAAATAACTCTAATTAGACAACAGCTTTTGACGAAGCCACTTACTTGATACATGTTTGACATAGTCACACGTTTGAACTCGAAAATAATCATTTCGTTTGCTAACGTCGAAATATATATATATATATATATATATATATATATATATATATATATATATATATATATATATATATATATATATATATATATATATATATATATATATATATATATATATATATATATATATATATATATATATATATGTATATATATATATATATATATATATATACAAATGACGTAAACGGAGCCAAAATTGCGTCAGTATTTTTACGCTTTTTTTTTTTATTGTAAGTATAAAACTTAAATAATTATAAATAAATAATTTTCTGTGTTACATTAACGGTTAAATAAATAATTTTTAAGTCTTTGAATTCCATTGTTCAAAGTCGGTTTCTTTTAATTGAAAAGTAAGTTGTTGTGCTTTTTTTCTGAAGTTCCGTTAGATTGATATTTTCTTAAACGTTAATTCGTTTACTTAAAATTATTTCCGTTATTTTAAGAGATGTGGTCAACGTTCTAAGATAATTTAAAAGATGTGGTCAACGCTTTAAAATATTTGGTAATGTACAACAAAAAGCCCGCTTGTGGTATTTTGTCACAATAATGCAAAATGAATTAAACTTTGTTACACTAAATAATGTCACCATTATTTTAAAAGTTTATTTGATTTAAGAATGAAAGTATATACTGTGCATATATATATATAACTATTATTATAATTATTATTATATTTAATATTATAAAGGAAATTATTTATATTATAATTATGAAATGTTAGGAAATTTATATAAAGGTGATGGAATGGCTTATACTTTATAAAAAATAGCATCCCATCTCATTAAGAGCACTATATATATATATATATATATATATATATATATATATATAATATATATATATATATATATATATATATATATATATATATATATATATATATATATATATATATATATATATATATATATATATTATATATATATATATATATATATATATATATATATATATATATACATTTACATATGTATATATACATTTACATATGTATATATATATATATATATATATATATATATATATATATATATATATATATATATTATATATATATGTATGTATGTATACAAATGTATATATATATATATATATATATATATATATATATATATATATATATATATATATATATATATATATATATATATATATATATATATACTTATTAAGAATTAAATTGTTTTAGTGATAGCATACTTACAGTTTTTATGTATACCAAATGGCAAAGTAAATTCAAAAATATATATTACATTTAATGCATTCGAATTATTAATAAAAATGTTAATAAATATCATCTTTGAAAATACCTAAAAGAATTTTCACCAGTAAAATGCAATGCAAAATTATCTTGGGAAAAATATGCAATTTTATCTCACAGACTCCACTATTAAACAAATTAAAGCTAAGCAACTTTAAGGGTGAAATAAAAAGATTTTTACCTGATTCGAAGTACCATGCAAACCATTAAAATCAATCAATGAGCTAGTTATCTAAGCATTTTCGTATTAAGACTTTTTAAAAAAGGTTTTCTCTCACAAAACATGCGCAAAGTTAAGTAGCCTCAATCTTAGTATAGAATTATGGATTTTTAGAATGTTACAATAGGGTGGTTTGCGCTTTTAAAAGCGACCAAAACCGCAGATTTAAATTCTTTGACGTCAAAATAATGTAACTCGAACCAGGTTTCTCTAAGGAAAAATTTCTCCAAATTTTGACTCATCTTATCGAAGAAAAATGTATTGTAATGCAAAGGAAATTTTCTAAGAGGAAGAAACGTAAACTATTTGAATTAACTAATTATGTTCAAAATTTATCCTTAATTATTTGTATATAAAGTAAAATAGGGGAGAGAGGAAAAGTCAATATTCTTGTCAAAACTTTTGGAGTAAAAGCCCAAAAATAAACTCATATTATGATAACCTTTTTTATTATGATAACCTTTTATCAAACTTAAAATCTTATTGAGCAATCATTTTCCAATTATTATTATATATTAATAAAGTCTTTTTCCAATATAATCATTAATAATTATAATTTATAATTGTTTCATTTTTTTTTTTTTTTTTTTCCTAATTTTGTCTTCAAATCATTTCGTTAACTTTTATTCTTAAGCCCACAAGCATTTAAAACAAAAAACAAAAATTTACTGTTAAAAACCATTTAAACTGTAGCTGAATTTCTATGTAAAATAAACAACTCAGAATTGTGAAGGGAACTAAGTTTAAATTTACAAAATTGGTAAGGCCATATATCTGTTCCATATAATAATCTATCAATTTTGTATTGAATCTTTTCCTTTTTGCATTAATGATATTTCTTTGTTTAATGTTGGAACCGCTTTGTCGTTGATGTTGAAATCACACAGAGCTTAGCAGCGATGATTTTATGGTGATCATTGGGGGACTGGTGATCATTGGAGGACTGCGAGCAAGCATCTTAAAAATGATTCAATTAAAAATTATTCAATCATTAAGATTGCCAAAAATGTTTATTAATAAAAATATCTAAAATGTCATCTTAAAGGATTTTTTCTTAAATTAAATAACTTTACAAATTGTTAAAAGTACATTTTATTTTAGTATTCGAATTTTTTTATTAGGTAATGATCATTTAAAGATATCATTAAAACAAATAAATGATTTTTTTTTTCTAATGTCAAAAAAAAAAAAAAAAAAAAAAAAGGTGCAAAATTGCAAAATAGAATTTTTAAAAAGTTATGTAAAAATAAATATTTAAAAAATTATTTTTAACAATTATAAAAGAAGTAAAAACCGCAACACCACAAGAAGTGAAAACCGCTATCTTTTTTTAATCAGTTTATCTTTTAATAATATTAATCGTTTACTTCAATCAAAGTCTCGCCGATTATCTAAGGATAAATTAGACAATTGTTTGTGTTACATTTTTTTCCCGCTCGCTTTGATGTGTTAATCGCGTAGTTGGTTAGTGGTGTTTCCATGGCACAGACGTTAACAATTTCATTCACAATTTATAAATAAATATAGGAACTTCTGATTTTACGCAAGAAGACCTCTGAAAATTTTTTTCAGTAATCGAAAAAAAAAATCTTTAAAAGAATAATTAGTGACTAAATTTTTTGTTTCATCTTACATTTAGTTTTTGATCTTTAAACAAATAGAATTTTAAAATGCTTAAAATTTTTTTTTTGTTTTTTTTCCAAAATACGTTATAGTTATGAAATCCAAATATATTTAAAAGGTTAAATTAATTTAAAGTTTAAATACTTTTTTTTAATTTCTATTACTTTTTTCTCTTCTTTTTTTTTTAACAACTTTTTTTAATACGATTATTGTTTTTCTATTAACACGTCTGTCGTAAATCCAATTAGCATTATGTTAATTTTAACAAATTCTTCGGACATCAAATACAACGTTTAAAATGATCATCAAATGTTAGGATAAACTAAAAGGAAAATAAATTGTTTAAAAAACTCATAGAACTTGAACAAAATACTTTATAGCTGATCTTAATGCTATGATTTGAAAGCTGATCTTAATGCTATGATTATTACTTATAATATATTTTTTTATTATATTTATATTATATACTTTATTATATACTTTATTATATAAAGTTTTTATATTATTATTATTATTATTATTATTATTATTATTGCTATTATTGCTATTATTATTATTATTATTATTACATATATATTGGCTATATTGGTTGTAGACTTATTACGAGTGATTTTTTTTTTTTTTTACAACAATCATTTTTATATATTTCAAAAAAGTAATATTTACATGTTGTTAGTTTATATAGTTTATATTTATCGTCAGGTTAGAATTATTTTTTATCTCCACTTTTTGAAAAAATCATTGATCGTATCATGTACCTCAAAATAATGTTTTTCTACTATATTAAAACCTAAGTTAAAATCAAAAAAGTGTCGGAGAAAACATAGTTAATAAAAATCTTTTTATATGCTGTCTCCTTAAGTTTTCATTTTTTAAATCGTTTTATCTCAAAACAAAAAAATGTGGAGAGAACAAAATAATTCTAACTTGACGATATGTACACCACACGCCTATAAAAAGATAAGAATGCTCTTAAGCGCATGTGCGCTTGTCAGTGGGTTAAAATAATTAATTTAAAAATTCGTGATTTATAAAGGTGAGTTTCAACTCATCCGTTTTTCTGCGGGAACGGGAAAAGGAAGGGAAAAATAATCACGTGAGTATTATGCATTCTCACGTGGTTAGGGACCGGCGAAGTAGACTTAAAGTTATATGAAAGACGAATTTAGATTATATGCACATTCCGAATTTAACTGAAAGACGAACTTAAGCCTTATATGTAGTCCAAATTCTGACAACAAGATCCTTTGATCTTCTTTCAGATACCTTATTTTATATTTGTGAAAGTTTATTATTATTATCATTATTTTTTTGGCAATATATAATTATAATACGATCAACAAATGTAAAATTAAAAAAAAAAAAAAATTAAAAAAAAAAAAAAAGAAAAAAAAAATTTAACTGAACGACGAATTTGGACTTCTAAACCGAATTTAACTGAAAGCCGAATTCGGATTTTAAAAACACATTTAATTAAAAAAAATTTTTAAAGACTTTTTTAAGTTTTTGAAATTTTTTTTTTTTTTTGCTTAAAATGTTCCGAGAAGATCTAACGGTTTTGGCATGGAGTAATTCATAAATGTGCGGCCGTGGTGCAGTGGTTAGAGAGCTTGCTTTACAAGCAGGTGATCTAGGTTCGAAACGAGCTCTGGGATATTTTTGCGTCACGGTAAGGAAGGAGGTGTGAACTTCCTGTTTAAATGCACCTCCGCGGTGCGCTGTGACACATTTCTTGGGGCACCTAAATAACAAAATAAAATAAAAAGAAAAGGATTAAACTACAAAGTTCAAGCATTTTTTCTTACCGATGGTGCAAAATATGTCTAGAGCTTGCTTTGAACTCTAGGTCCATTGCTTCTAAAGAAAGCGCTCTAACTACTGCGCAGCGGTTGCTGTATAATCATTTTTTATAAACTAAAGTTATTATTTTTTAGCTTGTAATTAACCATAAATTAAAACTTAACATAGAGCAAGTGAAACCAAGTAAATTTTCATTTATTAAATAAGTACACGCTTACAAATAAAATTTTCGTCAAAATAAAAAATCTAAAAATTCATTTATACTGAAAATTTAAGTTATGGAATCTTTACAACTCTTAATGTTTTTGAATGAACATGAACGATTTTTTGTTTTTTTATCTTTTACCCAATTCATGTTCCCAAAGCTAAGTGGGCCACTTCAGTCGAGGAGGCTACTTTTTATATTGGTTACAACCTTCTCTCAACTCTGAAAGAGGGTTGTAACCTATAGAAACAGGTTGATATGCATAAAACATATCATATATTTTATAATTCTTCTTTATGAATTGAAAAAAAATTTATAGCTGTCGAATTTAACTGAAAGTTAAATGAAATTTTAAAATTGTTATCGAATTTAACTGAAAGCTGAATTTCTATTTCAACTTCCGCACCGAAGTTTTTTAAAAAACGTATCATTTATGGCTTCTTTTTAATGTCTTCTTTGACGTTTTTATGTAATATTTGTAACGATTTTTTGTATTATATTTTACGTCTGATGACGATCTGTGCAAAAGCAGGTTGAAATATTACAAAAAAAAAATTTAGTTTGTTCGCAGCTGTTGTTTTATGCTTTATATTTTAAATATATATATATATATATATATATATATATATATATATATATATATATATATATATATATATATATATATATGTATATATATGTATATATATATATATATATATATATATATATATATATATATATATATATATATATATATAGAGAGAGAGAGAGAGAGAGAGAGAGAGGCACGGATGCAGCATTTTTTGATGTTTGAGATACCTAACTTCCAGTCATGAAACAAACTCCAAAAATTTATATGTTTATACTTATATCAAATAAGGGTGCTTTGCAAAAAATTGCAATGATTGGAGCCTAGGAACAAAAAAGCCATGAAATTTTAGCTACACCGGTCCCAAACGTGAGAGCAGCAAGTTGATAAAATAATTTTTATACTACTCTTAATTAATATTATATTTATCGACAAATTTTAAAATTCACAAAAAATCTTTTAGCGTTCAAAAACCATGGCCATAAAAAGTTTGAGCCCCCTCCTTCCTCAATTTGAGGGGGTTGCAAAATTTATAATGCCATAATTGTTGAACGCTAAGAGATTATTGTGTGAGTTTTAAAATTTTTTGATAAATATATACTTGGTTGAAAATAGTAGAAAAAATATTTTATCAACTTGTTGCTCTCACGTTTAGGGCAAGTGTAGCTAAAATTTTAGGGTTTTTTTGTTCCCAGGCTCCAATCATTGCAATTTTTTGCAAAGCATATTTATTTGATATAAGTATAAATATATAAATTTTTGGAGTTTGTTCCATGACTGCAAGTTAGATATCTCAAACATCAAAAAATGCTGCAACCGCTCCTGATATATATATATATATATATATATATATATATATATATATATATATATATATATATATATATATATATATATATATATATATATATATATA